AAATGTCGAAGTATTAAAATTGATTTGTAATTTCGTGGTCTAAAAATTACTTCTAATATCGAACAATAATTAATAATATTTGTGTTTTGATTCCCTTTTATCATTGCGTGTGCTAATGAATGTGTAAATGACAATCGTACTTTAACGATGAAAGATTTATTTATATTTTTCAGTTTCTACCGGTTTCGGCGTGTTAATTCTATCTTCAGGGAACCACGTTATACGATTTTATCTTTATCATACAACTTGTTTATAAAGAAGCGCTATTTTGTACTCTGTATATCATCATTTACAAGTATTAAAATTGATTTGTAATTTCGTGGTGTTAAAAAATTACTTCTAATATCGAACAATAATTAATAATATTTGTGTTTTGATTCGCTTTTATCATCGTGTGTGTTAATGAATGTGTAAATGACAGTCGTACTTTAACGATGAAAGATTTTATTTATGTTTTTCAGTTTCTACCGGTTTCGGCGTGTTAATTCTATCTTCAGGAAACCACGTTATACGATTTTATCTTTATCATACAACTTGTTTATAAAGAAGAGCTATTTTGTACTCTGTATATCATCATTTACAAGTATTAAAATTGATTTGTAATTTCGTGGTCTAAAAATTACTTCTAATATCGAACAATAATTAATAATATTTGTGTTTTGATTCGCTTTTATCTTCGTGTGTATTAATAAATATGTAAATGACAGTCGTACTTTAACGATGAAAGATTTTATTTATGTTTTTCAGTTTCTACCGGTTTCGGCGTGTTAATTCTATCTTCAAGAAACCACGTTATACGATTTTATCTTTATCATACAACTTGTTTATAAAGAAGAGCTATTTTGTACTCTGTATATCATCATTTACAAGTATTAAAATTGATTTGTAATTTCGTNTCGCTATTGATGTTTCTCCTCCCAGCAGAGTTGTGCCGCTCTCCATGTGAGAGTAAGTTACACTACTTTAGTACTACTTCTATACCAAATTTTATTGCGCTAGACACACGCATTCAGATTATACAGGGTGTGCTCGTGAATTATTTCCAACAGTGTATATATATATGTTTTAGTTGATTCCATTTCCAGTATAAGTAGTTTTTGCACATATTAGTAGTATTAATTTTGGAGGGTTATGTGATGGCGATCTTAATCTTCGCAATTACATCGTTTGTATCTTCCTATATTTCTTTTTTTCTTGTTGGTTATACAACCTAGAAATAGTTTTTAATGGCCATTTATGCGCTTAAATGCTTTAAGGCATAGTTTACAAAATATTTCATAAATCAAAGTTTATGGTATGTTTGCGGTTTTCGCCGGGCAGAAGTACATACCTCCGTATTTCCGAACAAACTAAAAATATGGTTTAATGTGCTTTTAAAGAGTCTGGGAGCGTTTTCTAGTATTTTCAAAAAGTCTTCTATATCTTAATCACCAATCTGTGCAGCAATAAATAATCGTGATAAGTAGGTAAACATCTCGTGCTTTCGGCCTCTTGCCTGGGATTGCTCTAAATAGGTAAACATGCCCGAATGGCTGTGGCCTTCGCACGGGTTAAAATTTATGTTTCTAACCCCACTCATTGAATGTCGTTAAATATGATTTTAAAACAACAAAGAATTTTTGTGAATATATAATTCAACTAGAGATTCATAGATGTCGTTTGGAGCTTGTTTATTATTTTATCCTTGCACTGGTTTTATTTATAAATGCACGAGTATAAATGTTTAATGTATTAAAGTGGGTATTAAAGTGCAAAAGTTCACACTTAATAAAAAATATTTATTATTTTTATTGGTAAGTGATATAATTAACTATTTATATTACATCAAAATAATAAAAATAAAATATTTGCGTTAATTTAAAATTCTAAAAACAAAAATCACAAATATTTCCTTCCATAATTCATAATTCAATAATTTACTCAACCAATTACATATTTTATCAGTAATCCATATTCCAACTTAAATCTGACCGAACCGATAAACTTTTTTATGTTATACAATCTATAAATGTTTTTTAACGATCACTTGGTTGATAAAAGATTGTTTAGGAAATAGCACTAAAGCATCCTATAAATCAAAATTTATGGAATGTTTGCGATTTTCGCGGGAAATAAATACTTACCTATTTCTAATAAACTAAAAATGTTAAAAGTTATTAATTTTTTAGTTTATGTGGTCGTAAAAATATGTTTATGTATAAATTTAATAAAAATTTTTTGGAAGAAATGGAAAAGAGAATTGTGTGAGATTTGGGTGTGAGTAGTGCAGATCGATTTCTTGGAATTGTTAAGGGCGCTTGCGCGGACTGGGTTGGAATCAATTAAAAACCGGAAGGCGAAGTGAAAATTAACTAATAGAGCCGACCGAAATCCTCGCAGGAGAGGAATAAGGCTCGCGCCATTACTCGCCGTTTATAGCCTCGATTTTCTTATTTTGTACTCGGCGTCGGTGTAAGCCTAACTTATAGGTCTTATATGTTAATTTTACGTCCCGGGCGTGGAGATAAATTTCGCGGGTGGTGAACCGATCGAGTCGCGGAATTCGGCCCCCTAAAAAGATTAAATCGAAAATCGCCTCTGAATAATACCAAGAATAATCCAAATAGCTAATTAGCAAATAATCCTATTTTCCGTTAATGAACTTACAATAATACCTTGTTGATTGGTAGCAGTTCCACGTAAACATATTGATGCATTTACATTATTTGGGATTTGCTGTTTGTAAACATGTGAAATCCACAAAATCCGAAATGCGTCGGATATCGTTTGCCGCGGTTCGCGTCGTCGGCAAACTTGCCTCGTCTTGTTAGCATAATCCACCCTGTATTGAATTACAACGTACGTCCCGGGGCGAACGTTTATAAATTGCCCGGTAAATTAAGATATCAAATCCAATTTGCCTCGTCGGCGTACGTGACGAGAGCCGAGTTTTACTCGGAGATTAAATCTCTGCTGTTTTAGTACCAATTCGATACATTTTTTTCTATATTCAAATTTTATTAATAAATATTAAACGGTTTATGTTTTAATAGGTAATCATTTCTCTGCTTAATACTAAAGCAGACTGCTGTTTGTGGAAATCGTAAAAAAATCCTCGGAAAATTTAATGGATTTTAATGGAAATTCCGCCTGCCCGTGGTTATTAAGCGCGTATTAAAAATTATATTCTATTTGCCAAACAAGATAAGGCACATAAACTAATATACCGAGTATATTAACACCGAATTAGAGACTGTTAAACTTTGCAACAAATATTCCTTTGACCTGTTAATTTATGCTGTTAATGTATATAGCCGGTTACCGCTTTAATATCATTGGCGCTGCCTCTCAACTTGGTACGTATGAATGACCACCGCAAATTGATGAGGGGATTTAAGAGAATGGAGTTTAATTACATTGCATTAAATGATTTAATTCATAATAAGTTTCATTTATTTTTTAATAAAAAAGTATGCAAGTAAATATTTGAAGAATAATAAAGCATTAAACTTGAAAGTGTCAATAAATACTTTCGTAGTTTGTTGATGTTTATTTAACAAACTTAATCTGTTGCTTTTAAAATTAAGAACAATAATTAATGGAGTTGTCGGATATTACTGAAATAAAGCACGGCTAAATATGAGGTAGCCGGGCTATAACGTAAAAGCAGAACTTTATTACTTCTCGGAATCCTTTGTGTTACGAGGATGGCTTTTAATTGAGGCTAAAAGTGTTATGGTAAATATTACATCGTAAAATTCATACACCTTTTCTAACAAATCAGATAATGAATGTGTAAATGATAGTGAAAAAGTTTATTTATGTTTTTCAGTTTCTACCGGTTTCGGCGTGTTAATTCTATCTTCAGGAAACCACGTTATACGATTTTATCTTTATCATACAACTTGTTTATAAAGAAGCGCTATTTTGTACTCTGTATATCATCATTTACAAGTATTAAAATTGATTTGTAATTTCGTGGTCTAAAAATTACTTCTAATATCGAACAATAATTAATAATATTTGTGTTTTGATTCCCTTTTATCATCGTGTGTGTTAATGAATGTGTAAATGAGAGTCGTACTTTAATGATGAAAGATTTTATTTATGTTTTTCAGTTTCTACCGGTTTCGGCGTGTTAATGCCATCTTCAGGAAACCACGTCATAACGGTAGTTAGATATTGTAGAAACTGAAAAACATAAATAAACTTTTTCATCGTTAAAATGGAATCAAAACAGAGATATGACATCAAATAATATTTATTTAAGTTTTAACTTTGAAAGATTTTGTAAAAATCCTAGAAATACTTCAAATAAATCCGAGAAAGTATTCAATATTCTTTGGAAGTGTACTTTCGAATAAGTCCGAGATATTCTTCGATATCCTTGGATATAAGTACGAAACACAATTTCATTTTTTAGATTTTTGCACCTTATCATATTAATAGAAAATCATCTAGTAGTATATTTATTCCAAGAAATATCAATGTTCTATGAATTTTGTAGTAATCCGTTGGATATTTTTTGCACAATATTAAAGATTTAGTCAGTGTCAGTTTAGAATCGTACAAGTGGGTGTAAGATTTTGGATGGTCTTTAGAACTGACAGAGAAAACGAGGACGTTCGACGTCGGGATGCAAATATCGCGAGCCGCGGACGTCGGACGGTTTCCCCCCAATCAGACGGCCGCACCCCCACTACCAGAACCCAGGACTTGTATAGTGGTAACTCGCGAAAGCTCGCAATCAGTTTCAGCACGAGGTAGCCAAGGGCAAACAACCCTCAAAAAGTCTTCAGCGCTCCCCCAAAACTCGTAAGTACAATCCTCCCTCTATGAAAAAATGTCGATGGATTTTTTTCGTTACCATCATCATTGGCGCCACCGAAACCACCGCCGACACCTCGTAGTTTAATTTTCTGCCGTTCTGTTTTGTTTCCGATGTTCGCGTAGTACTATTTGTAGTATGGAGGGTGAAAGTGGACGAAGGACGTAACGCCTACGCGCCGCGTGATCGTCGCGTGGGCGATGAAGAGAAAACCGACCGGTTCTTCCCCCTATTTTCTCTCGTTTCACGACCTATCCATCAATCGTCCGTCAACGGGAAAGACGCGGTTCAATGCCCCACTTACGTCCGATTGTTTTTTTTTTGTTTTTCGCCGCCTCCCCATTTTCCGAAGTCTTTCCCGGGCCGGACGTGCCTGGAGCTCCGCCACGAATTCTCTTATGCCACCCGGATTATCGCGTAATGCCCTTAATAAATTGCCGACGGCGTGCGTCAACTTCGCCGCCGGAAAAACAACGCCTCAGAGATTCTTCCAGTAGCTTACCTTTCTCTTTCGCCCTGAGGATTTCGAGGGCTTCGATGTCAATCGATTCAGGTTAACTAATTCCCAAACTTTATCTATTTTCCAAAAGAATGTTTTATATATACATAATTAATTAATTAACTTTATTATTTTTTATTTGTAAAATAATTCCTAAGTCAAACTTCTCAACATAATTTTCGAGTTGGTCTTCAATTCAATAAGTTTAATTGCAGCTTAATAATTAGCGCTGTCGATCTGTTAATTTCCAGTAATTCGAAGGAAAACTTTCCGGTCTGTTCGCCGTGAAACGCAATCGACAGAAATCCGGGGGAAGTGAAAATTGAATACGCGCGCCGCGACGTCGACGCTGGCCAAGGTCATGGGCACACCTCCCCAAAAACATCCTGGCAAGCTACCAACGGTTATCCTATCGACTAACCCCAACAGCTGACATCGCGCTCCCTTCCCCCCACAGGAACCTCACGGGTTACCCCTCAACAACCCCCTTCATCCCCCGTCGCCGTTTCCCGCCCGCGTGCCGACACAATCGAACATCGATATAACTACGCTCATTTTAAATTCAAAACTTTGCCCTTTCCGCTCACGTCCCGGCTCTTTCTTCGGCGACATCGTGACGCGGGTTTGACAGTTAATTATTTGTCTCAAAAGAACGACAGTCCTAATGGAAAATTACCATAACTTGCATCGACTTGAGTAATTCCTAAGAACTAAGGAATTTTAATCCGTCTCTTTTTAGAAAACTACTTTTCCATGTTCTTACTTTGTTATCATTCATGACATACTTTACTAAAACCAGATTTATTTTTTGAATAATAACTTTTATTTTTAAGTATCAATGTCTTAATAAATGTTTTAATACTTACGCCGGAGAATGTATAACTTCGCTCGCCTAAACCTAGGTTGCTTGCGGGCGAGGCTCTACAATTAATATCATATCAACCCAAAACGAAATTTTCATTATTATTCATTTAAAATTAATATTTACGAGACATAATAAGTAAAACAGGTTTCAAATATTTTGTCTCGGCCGCAAACGACCTCGGCTACGATTATATACTACGATCATAAAGGATTATCTTTACATATGATAGCTAATCCAATTACCAAAAAAAATTTTAATGAACATATAGGATATATAACACTTTAAAGTTTTCTGCAGCGCATTTATTAATAGTCAGTAAAATCAAACATTCAACAAAAACAAAATTGTCATTGTAAAATTGTCATAATTTGCTGTAAGGTTTAATTATTACATACAAGAAGAATCTCAAAATGTACATTTCGCGTATGGTTTTTGCAATGGAAATGCTCGACAATCAGTAGGAAAATATCAAGAAAGATTTCCACAGCGAATTTTCACATTTTTAACGATTCTTTCAGAAGACTTCGAGAAACAGGTAATCCTACTCCAGCAATTAATGTAAAGGACGAAGAAGCTGTAATTAATGCTGTCATTGATAATCCTTCCATCAGCACTCATCCGT